GTTCAGATTTTGGGAAATTAAAGTGGAGGGAATTGTAACTCAAACACTTCTAATTTCCCCTAGACAAATAAGAAAGAGAAAGAGATTGGGGGGGGTGCGGCGGGTACGAGGGATAGGGAGGAGGAGTTACTTCCAATTGGAGAAGTTCCATATTGAAAATAAATTAAATAGATGGGGCTAGGGGAGAATTTGGCCAAAGGGAGGTGGGGGAAATTTGAATTGTTTCCAAAGTGGGGAGTTGGGTTTTAGGAAACAATTCCTAATCTCCTCCTATAGGGGCCGGAGGCATTATGGGCTCTAGGATGATTGAGGGGGAGATTTGGGTTTCTAAATTTGGGTTTGGAAATTAGGAAAGGATTAATTAAATCCAAATCAAATTTGAAATTTAAATAGGATTTAATTTAGGAACTTTCCTAAAATAGATTTCTTAAATTAGTAAAGAAATTTTCAAATTTAAATTGCATTGAGATTTGAAATTAAGTCTTCCCAAATTAAGAATAATTATTTATGGAAAGGATTCAAGAGGTGATTTGAATTTTGGAGGGAGGATAAGGGAAGAGGGGTTGGCGGTTTGGTGGGCTTAAAGGGATTTCGGTGGGGGTGCTGGAGGGGAGAGGTCAGCCAATGGTATGGGTGGTGGGAGGGGTTTAGGCGATGGTGGTGAGTTGACGAAATGAAAAGGAAAAAGATAAAGTAACAAACCACGAACCCGCCCAACTTCAAGGTTGGTGGGTGATCCAAATTCCCTCTCCTAGGGATTTCTCTCTCCAAACACTCTCAAGATCTCTCAAGAACTCTAGCAGTGGCACAATTTTCTTATCATTCAATCATTAACCTTAGAAGAGAAACATAAGGGCTATAAATAGCCTCGTAACTAAGGACTTAAAATAAAAAGACGACACTGCCCTTAGGGCTTACATACGACCTCCCTTAAGTAAGAGGTAAAAATGGAAAAAAAATAAATACAACATAAATAGCAAGAGGCAAATAACATAATAAAAATAAATACATGAAATGACTAAAAAATACATCGACTCGATTGTGATCGTAGATCGACGGCCACGCCTCTGATATACTTTCCATGCTCTGATGTTCCTATCACTGAAGCCTCTTCTTTGGGCACCAAATCCTCTAGAAAAGCCAGGAGAAAAGCTAATGCTCTCTTTCGAGCTAAAGGTTTTGAAAGACCCTCTGTAATCCAAGAATAGTTGCCTCCGTTGGAGGCTAATGTCCCCATCAATAATGGCTTTGAACAATTATGGTAGGTGAAGAGGAATAGTACCAAAGGTGAGATAAAGAAGCCTTTTTGGGAGGTATCCCGCCAACCACAACAGCTATAGAAGAAGGAAGAATTAGTCCCTTCCGCATTTATAACATGTTGAAGGCTGTCAAGGGCATAAATTTGCAGGGAAGATTGAAGAAGTCTGTTAATGAAGCCATCCTCCCAATTGCAATTCAATCTTGAAAAGGCAAGGTTTTGGGGTAAAGCCATCCTCCCAAAAAATTCCTCACCTTTCAGGGTAAAGCCACTGTCATTTCCTCTGAAACTAAGATTTCTAAGCTGGCAATTCCATTTACATTTTCAATAGTAGACAAGTTTTCTTGGGTCATCCAAGTATTGATATTATTCATAGATTTATGTCTATCTTGCATTTGATTGGTGATTGCTTTATTAGGCTGCTTGACCCATATGAGAAGAGGAAGGAGGCAGAACATTTTTCCTTCCAATAGCTTCAACAACATTATGATGAGCACACGCAAAAATAGAGTTAGCAATAACTTTTAACCTAAATGCTTAAGAAGGATTCACAGGGAGGCAAAAAGTAGAGGGGCTTAGGCAAAACATGAGATAAAAGGCGGCCACTAGTATCATTATTTAGTAGCAAAAGAAGAATACAAGGATGATCCATTCTCTGGAAAGGCGAGATATCCATCCTTAGCAAAGGTGAAGCCGATGGAAGTCCAACATAGGAGTTCATGGATGCGAGAAATAAGGCTAGACATTGACACTAGAAGATGTCAACATTAATCAATGGGCCCCAAGAAAAGGGGCCTAAGAAAAGAAGATGACAGAGTATAAATGCTTGATTGACAACAACGACAACCGAAGGAAACCCTAGGAAGTGCCGGGCTCAATGGGCTTAAGTGAAAGTTAATAAATAATGAAATTCATATGGCTTAATGCCTGCTTAGGGTTTTAAATTTTTTTTTTCTATATATATTCTTTAGAATTTGTTGGTGTTGTGGGTTATATTATGGTAAAGATTGATATGAGTGGCTATAGTTTTTAAAAGATTACTTCAAGTAAATGCAGCTTTAATATTAATTGATTTAGGAGTAGATAAATTTGATGTTAAGTTGACGATGAACCATTCATGATAATCACTTTGCTAAATGTTTTTCTTTTTCCATGATTCCAATCCCTTGAGAGGATGCATTATACAACAACAACAACATCAAGCCTTTATCCCGCTACATGAATCCTTTTTCTCCATTGTGTCCGGTTAAGAGTCAAATTCTCATTTAGATCTAATAAAGAAAGGTCATTTCTCATATTTTCTTACTAAGTATTTTTGGTCTACCTCTACTGTTCTTAAAATGGGCTATACTCTCCTAACCGGGTCATCAGAAGGCCGTCATTTCATGTGACCAAACCATTTAAGGCGACTCTTTCTAATCTTATATGCCACTGGAGCTACTTCAACTTTTCACGTTTATGTTCATTTCATGTCCTATCTCTAAGAGTAAAGCCACTCATCCACATGAGCATCCTAATCTCTGCAACACTTAATATTATACTTCTCTTTTAATGGCAACATTATGCGCCATAAAGTATTATATGTCTAACCACCATCTTATAGAATTTTTCCTTATGTTTAAGTGATACTTTTTTAATACACAAGCCTGATGCATTCGTCAACTTCATCCATCCAACATGAATTCTACTATTAATATCCCCATCTATTTCACCATCACTCTGAACAATAGACCTAAGATATCTAAAACGTGTACTCTTATTAATGACTTAATCGTCCAAAGTCACAAAACCCCCACTAGATCTATTATCACTAAAATTACTCCATGTATTCGGTTTTAGATCTTCTCAAACGAAAATCTTTAGACTCTAAGATTGACCTCCATAATTCAAGTTAACCTTCAACTTCCTCTTTAGTTTATCAACAAGAAGAATATCGTTAGCAAAAAGCATACACTAGGGAGCATCATCTTGCAAATCTCTAATAAGAACATCCATGACTAAAGCAAAAAGATATTGGCTTATGGCTGATCCTTGATGTAATCCAACTAAATTTAAAAAAATACTTGGTCAAACCATCTTGTGTTTGAATACAAGTAATATGTCCAGCATACATATCATCAGGTCCTCTCTAACTTCTGTTTTAATAACACGCCGGTAAAAAAAAAATCTCTATTTTCATTTTAAGTATTAACGTCACTAAAGTCAATCATATTTTCACAATCTTTATTAAAAAATTTAGCAAAATATCTCATCCACCATTGTTGAATATCCTATTCTAAAAAAAGTACTTTTTTATTTTCATCCTTAATGCACTTCACTTAAACTAAATATTTACTGCTCCTATGTCGTTGTTTGACTAGCTTAAACATATATTTTTCGCCCCCTTTAGTATCTAATCTATTATAGAAACTATTCAAAGCTAAAGTCTTTGCATCGCTGAATGCTTTCCTAGACTTCTTACGGGCAACTTTATAACTTTCCCAATTTTTAGAATTTTTTCATCTAACCAATTTTTATAAGAGAACTTATTTTTTATCTTTTCTTGCACATTTTGATGCCATCATCAACTATTTTTACTATTATAAGCTTTTCCAGTAATTATACAACAACAACATCAAACCTTTATCCCACTATATGGGGTCAGCTACATGAATCCTTTTTCTCCAATGTATTCGGTTAAGAGTTAAATTCTCATTTACATCTAATAAAGAAAGGTCGCTTTTAAATTTTCTAACTTTCTAACCAAGTCTTTTTAGATCTACTTATAACTTTCTTAACATAGGTTAAATATATACATTTACTCTCCTAACCAAGTCATTAGAAGGCCGCCATTTTATTTTTACCAAACCATCTAAGGTGACTCTCTCTAATCTTATCAGCCAATTAATATAGTTGCAGGATGCTTTGCTAGAAGGATTTTATGTGAATTTGTGGAAGGATTTCCATGCCTTTTTTGGAATTGTGTTGTGGAAATGAGAGAATGATGTAAGAGGTGAGAAGAGATTGGGTGGAGAGTGAGAAACCCGATTGGGATGGAGAGAGATAACACACTTGTGAAACCGTGAAGGTAGAGAGAGGGATCTGATGGATAAAAGCTAAGGTGGAGGATATTTTTTCTGGCGGGGGAGGTTGGGGGGGGATCTATCAAATACAATTCATCATTTTTATTCAATTAATAGTCTTAAAACCTCCATTTATAGAAATAGGGTTCCAAAGAAAAAAATAAATTGATTTGATTCAAATCTAGATTCTTAGAATTTTATCATCTAATTTTAAAATAAAATATTTCTAACATGAAGTAAAATAAAACTTAAATAAAGGCCAAAAACTGATTGAAAAATTCATAAAATTCATAGAAAAATGTTAGAATAATTTTGATGCCTGTCTTTGCTACATAATGTATTCCGTATTTGGTTATTGATTTACTTATTACACTTTATTCTCTCATGCTAAGTTTTATGCCTTCTGTCTCTGATTATTATTCCTCGTGTTTTGTGCTGCTTCTACTAGAGATGTATGGGTGTGTATGGTTTTCTATCAACTTCTTTTATTTAGAAAACATGCTGTATCATAATGTTGAACAAACCAACTTTAATGCTGCATCTCATCATTTTTATGCATTCCTGAGTCTTTAGCTGCTACATTTTGTTTAACTTTTTATGGGATAGTTTCATTTCATTCCAAGCAGCTTCCCTTCATCCAACTAACTTAGTTGTTTGTGATGGTTTTCATGGTTGATAAGCAAGGAGGGACTGAATATCTTGAGACTCCGGATGATCAAGGATTGCCTTCTGTGCTGCTAAATACCAGCAACCTGAAAATGATGTCACAGATTGTCAGCGACGGGCCTAAAATGTTTGATGATGACATCTTCAATAACAAAAATGGATTTGAGCAGTGGGATAGCTTAAAAAAGGACTCTTTTGGTACATTGGAAGCTCCACTGATTTCAAATGGCAATGGGTCAAATTTATTTAGGGCTATGGATCAGTCTTCTGTTCTCCAACAAATCTTCACTATTAATGAGGTTTCCCCTGAATGGGGATATTCTACAGTGGAAACCAAGGTTGTATACAATTTTTCCCCTTTACCATTTTTGCATCATTTAGTTGTGCTATTTTACTATAGAGAAAAAGATAAAAAATGATCTCTTAACTATTTATGAAGGACTAAAATGATCCTCAACTATATTAAAGAATCATTTTAGTTCCTCAAGTCTTTGAAATGGAATCAAAATAGTTGGTACGACTTTTTTGGTTCCTCATTAAGGAGTTAAGGGTCCAAAATGATTCTTTAATATGGAGAGATCATTTAATCTTTGATAAAAAGTCAAGAGATCATTTTGATCATTTTCTTTTTTACTATAATTATCAATTATGCCTTAAATTTACATTTTGGTTGTTCAATCATTTATGCTTCTTAAATATATTCTTAAAAAGGAAATAACTTATATTTTAAACAATATTGATTATATATGCCATTTCAAATCATGCATGCTCTACTTTATAAATCATAAGTCCATCTATATTTGCCTTATAACAACCAGTTGGGGTGGGTGGGCCTTTATGAAATGTCATTTTTCTTTTTCTACCCACCCCAAAGTTCACAAGATGGGATTTATTATGATGTAGTCAATATTCAAATATAAGACCTTGGCAACAACTTCCAACAGTCTTGCCAAATTGGATTAGGTGGATCCTGCAAAATCTCATTTTTCATTTGTTTTTATTGAATGTTCCATGAGGTGTTTGCTGCTTTGTTTTTTGATCTTTTTAATTTCTAGTTATGTTACATTTGGTCTACTTCTTTTTCTTCTTAAATCTTCTATCATAATTTTTTCTAGCTTACTTAATGGTGCACATTGTACTTTACATTGCATATACCTAAACCATCCAATGCTATTTTCCACTACTTAATCTGCATTAAGTGTCAAGTCCTTGGTCTCTCTAATACAATCATTTTTTTAAAATTTATGCCTAATAGTCTTACCAAACATTCGTCTTAATATTCATACTTCTGTCACATTCAGTTTGGCTATCGATGAATTCTATATCACGTAGCACTTATTCCATATATCATAGCAAGATTGATAACATTTTCATAAAATTTACCTTTAATCCTTTGTCATATTTTCTTCTTATTTGGTACTCTTGAAGAAATACCCTTTAATCAAATAGCTTTTACTGTAGAAATTACATAATTGAGTAGAATCCCATTCTTTATATAATATGCTTCAGATACTTAAATCTATCACACTTACATATTTCACTTGATCTTCATTTATATTGACTGATAATTATCAATTTCCCATTCACTAAAATTGCACATTATATTAAATATTCTCTATATGTATTTCCATAGCTAATACAAAAAACATGACTTATAACCATTGATGTAATTCTATACGGGACTCTTTAATCATTCCATAGATCATTCTAATATTAGAAAATACATCCCTTTGACAAATCTTTTTCTATAGTGCACAATGTTAATATACAATTGGTATTCTCTTTAGAAGTACTTTTTTTGGCTGAGTAAAAGAATTTTTGTATTTTATTAAGTTTAGGAGAGTTTATGGTGGGTGGAAAGAGTTTTATTTTTTTCATTGCATCCCACGCTTGCATCTCTTATATAGTGCAAATATCTAATTATGCCCTCCCTTAGACCATGTTTAAGCATTTACTGGAGGGGTTTTCCTCAGTAAGAAAAGTTTTTGAGACTGGAAAGGGATGAATACCATTTATTTACCATGATGGTTGGTGTGTAAGCAAACTTGTATGTTTGACAAATAGGACAGTCATTTGTTTAATGTTCATTTATATATATTTTTTTATTTAGATAATTGAATAAGCTTAGCATTTAAATATATATGCTAGAAGCCATTATTCTATTTTTTTGTTTCATTTATGTCATTCTACAAGATAATCTTTGTTGTCTGGAAGGTTGCTTGATAAGAGCTTGATTAAATTCTCATGAATGCTTATTTAATAGCTTATTTATTACCTATATCGTTGTTCATTTTACATAACTTGTTCCTATCCTTCACTAAATCAATATATTGATCAAGTGATACCTATTATAGAAGTTTATAGTTTGAGCAAATTACTAGTCTATTCAATAGATCGATTTAGCTTCTTTTTCAGTTTCCCATTAATGATTAATTTGATTTAAACAATAAACATACTGGATGTAATGAACAAGTATCTTTAAGAAATCTATGCAGAAGTTAATATTAGATGATACATTATTGTATATATAAATTAATATCATCTCACATAAATTTAAATAGGTTCAATTAAAGCTTGGAGAAAATTATTGAACACGAGTTGTTTTATAGCTTGGCTTATGCTTGCTACGCAAATAAACGAGCCTGTGCATAGTAGTATTCAACTCATTTGGATTCTTTAAGCACTTTAAAAATGTACTTTTTGCCGATGTTGATGATTTTGTGGTATTAAATGCTATCAAATTTATTTAATATATTATTTGGATGAAAGATATAGTTATATCTATGCATTACTTTAGGATCATAATTTTTTAAAACAGATCCCAAATTCTTGAAATATAGTTTCGCACAACTAACCAGATGATTCATGTATGTTGTATGATACTTTTAATATGTATATGCTGTCTTGATGCAACCTTTGTACAAAGTAAATCTTTTGCACTTAGATCTAAAAAATCTGGCAGATAAGCTACGGACAATAAATAAAATAAACTACATGATACATGATTAAGTTTTGTTCTGTTTTTTTTTTTTTTATTTTTTTTTTTAATACTTTATGGATGAAAAGCTTAACCATCAAGCTACAATATTGATTATGATATTACTGTTCGCTACTTATACTGCAACATTTAGATATGTGATAATATCACCAAATTTTGTTTGATAAGATGAATGCTCTTGAAAAGAAACTTTTCTAATTAATCATTCTTACGATTACTTTTTTATGGCTCAACACAATCAAATTTACTGAAAGACCCATCTTTTGAGCAATATATTTGGTCCCTTCTCTAAAAAGTAAAAATTGCTATTTATTTGGCTCTATTCATTCATTGCTTAACAAACCAATCAAGTGGAGTGCAAATGGTCCTTTGACCACTAGTGAGCCTGAAGGATCAGTTCTCGATGCCTTCAGGTAAGCAAAATGTAATGAAGCAGGAGATATAGAGCCTATGGGAACTCTGGGGATTACCCTCAAGGTTTTGGCGGCAAGGAGTGATAAGTAAATGCAAAGCTGGGAGACCTATTTCTTGGGACATAAGGTTAGCAAATGACTTCTTTTATGTTGACTGCAATCGGCATCTTGGCAACATTTTCCACACTCTTGACAGAACCCAGGCAGGTAGACCACTTATAATTTTCGCAGTTCATGGCCTAAAAAATATCAGTTGCCTTCCTAGTTGACATTTAGCAGTCCTTTCTGGAACCCCCTCATAGATGAAAAGCAATGACCACCCTTCTCTTCTTTGCCACTGCATTAGCCAATCAACAGCTACTTAGCTCTTTCTGCTGAATTTCCTTCATCACGTGACCATCTCCCACTGCTACCTCCACAGAAGCAAGTGTTGGGCATGCCTCTATCTTCTGCTTGTTCAGTAGCAACAGGAAGGTGGAGGAGCTTAGGAAGAAATAATTAAGCATTTCTTTACTCAACTGCTTCTTTGTGTCTTGTAATACCATGCAGCTCTATAAACATCCTCTGTTAGTTTACAGAATTTTGGCCTCTTTAGTACCATTGTTGACCTGTAACTGTATACAAAAAAAAATAATAATAATAACGTACCTGTTCGGCGCCGAATTCCGCACGTCGCTCACGACTGATGTTGCGTCCTCACATCTCCGCACGATTTAGTGTCGTTAATAGGGAGAGGGAAGCAAGGCATTCGGTTCTCCCCACTCTGGCTCTCCCGCACTCTCTCCCCCGACATCTCTCTCACTCTTGCTCTCGCTCTCTTCTCCCTGTGCGAATCAGAGGTTACGACATTAGGATCGGAAGCAATGATTGGAGCTCGCCTCTCCTTCGGCTCCATCATTGCCGCTCGAATTCGCTCATTCGACGTTATTTCCTTCCTGTTGGAGCGGAAGTTCCGACATTTTGATCGAAAAAACCAACGGGAGCTCGCTGGCTGGAACTCGCTTGCTGGGACGGTAACTTTCTCCCTTCCAGCGGCTTCTTCGGCCTGTTCGGCCGCGCCCCTTGACGGATCGGAAGTTACGATCATTTCGATCGGAAGCAACAATCGGGAGCTCGCTTGCTGGGACGCCTTCCCTTCCTGTTGAATCGAAAGCTGCGACAGTTTGATCGGAACAACAACAGAAGCTCGCCGACTGTGAAATTAACTTTCTGCCTTTCGCCGCTTCTTCGGCAAACCCGTGGCTGTCCGACTCGGCTCCGCCAACGACTTTCCCTCTCAGTAGGATCGGAAGTTACTACATTTCGATCGGAACCACAACAGGGAGCTCGCCGGCCGTGAAGGTAACCTTCTCCTTCTCGCGTGCTGCCACGGCCAAATCCCCTAAATCTGCTGAACATAGAGAGGGTAGAGGGAGAGATGGTTTAATTTATTTTAATTAAAATGAATTTTAATTAATTTTAATTATAATTATTTTTAATTAATTATAGTTACTATAATTAATTTTAATTAGTTTAATTAGATAATTATAATTAATGATTAGTTAATTATAATTAATTTAATTAATTTAATTTTAATTAATTACAACTTTTTAAATTAATTACAATTGATTATTATTAATTAATTAAATTTAATTAATATTAATTAATTTTAATTAATTAAAGATAAAATATGATTAATTATTTTAATTAATTAAAATAATTAATTAATTTATTATAATTAATTAAAACAATTATAATTAAATATTTATTTTATATATAATTTTTCTAGCTTACTTAATGGTGCACATTGTACTTTACATTGCATATACCTAAACCATCCAATGCTATTTTCCACTACTTAATCTGCATTAAGTGTCAAGTCCTTGGTCTCTCTAATACAATCATTTTTTTAAAATTTATGCCTAATAGTCTTACCAAACATTCGTCT